GCAGCTTTCAAATTCTCATAATCCAGGTTTTGGTTGCTTTTCAAATTCAAATCGTAAGCGGCTCTCGCTCGTCCGGAAAGCAGTGCACCCAAAGCGGTGACCAAATGCGCACTCCCCTTGATGCAGTTGCATGATGCAATTAATTCAAAATCGCGAATCCACATCTCCGTCTGCAAACGCGTTTGGCCAAGGTACCTTCATTGCGTTGTGCTGACTCGGGCGACGGCACCACTGCAGCGAGAAGGCGAGCTGGCTGGGAAAACGTTTATTGATCCAGTTCAAAAGCAACCGGTGTACGCGTTCAATTACATATATTTAATTCTTAATCGCGCGGCAAGATGATTCATGCCTCTTTCTGTTGGTCAATCTCTGCTGGTTTTGGTCCGCGCTTGGCACGTACGTTGCCTCTTCTTCCGCGTGCCGTTCCGGCTGGTTTGACCCGATCGTGGCGCGAGATACGTTGATCGACAGCTCCGACGTAGTGGCATTCGATGTATATCTTTCTGGCTAGCTGCGGATTATCTGTCGGGCTGTAATTGACGATTCGTTCGTTTCGGGTGGTGGTTAACATTGTCCCTCGAAATACTTCCAGCCGCTACGTCTGCGCGTCTGGTTGGATGAGCCCCATTCTTGATTCGTTCGCTAGCCGGGGCCCTCTTCGTACCGCCTTTCATCACAATATGATCGTTCAATCTCGTTTCGTAATGGCTTCAAAATAACGACTAGAATGCCACTGTTGGTATTGAAGCATGACTAAAGATTCTGACTATGGAAAAACGGTCTCGTTGTCGTCATGTAGCCTACTGATAACTAACTGATACCGTCGGTACTCATCTCTTATCATCGGTTCTCCTCAAGTAACTGTCACTTACACCTCGCGAAATGCTCGCATAGGACCAAGCGTCTCAAACTGCATCTGCTGAGGAAGCCCTACTCTCGTGGCGGAAGTGTTTTCCCACCAAAGTGAAAGGACGAAAGTCAAGGTCAACTTTTCAAGATCGAGTCTCATGCATCGTGAAATATATATTTCTGCTCCCTCTATGATTGGAGGTTGGACGTGAGCTATTCATTTTAGATGAAATATATAAAGTTCATGGGTATATTTACTTTGCACTGTATGAAAAATGTATACTTTTTGGAATACTCATTGGGCGGAATAAGCACAGTCATACAACACAACTTGTTAGGAAAAATGAAATCCTTTTCTGATTCCGAGCTTTAGTTTTCAAACTACTACAAATTTTATTGATACCCGAAATCGAGCCAATTCAAATAGCTATCGCTATGCAAGTATGCTTTTGGAAACTGAAATGTACACGCTTTTCTAAATTAAGGATGATATCGCACGAGTTTGATCAATACCTTCAATTTTTTCACTTGGATAACAGTGAATAATCCGGCGAGATCTTTTTCTTTTTTAATTCAAGCAACGCTCATGTGATAGGCATCATTATCCTCCAATCACTGCGGTGATACGTTGATTCATTATGTTGTGTGAGGTGTGAGAATTTGCTTGTGTTCTGTTTCTATCACTCCACAGAATCACAGCGACTTTCTATCGGGGTTCGCTTCCTGCCGATTATTGCATTCTTCTACTATTCATTCGCCTCCATACTATGGAGATTTACTCCCAAGAGTCTCAAACGTTCGGTTTCCACTGCATCGCAAAAGAATGATGAATTGATTAATGCACTATGGAATTAATTAAATCAAAGTCTCGTGTAACGTTTCTCGTTTACTTTGTCTGTGGTTCCATTGAACAGGTATTTCATAGTGCAGGTGGATAGTTTCCGTCGCACTCAGCTCACAATCCGTCATCCGTTTGTTTCCTTTCTCTTAGAAATCGATTTCCCCAACCTACTGAAACCGCAACCCGGACCACAACAGCCGTCCTCCTCTAGTATTGAACCGGCAGCTCCATCCTCCCAACCAGAACGTAGTTGGGACAATGAAACCGGAGAGGCCGAAGGCGAAGATCAAGAAGGCACAGGTGATACGTTACCCACGGAGGCATACATAGCTGCCGAGAAAAATGTCCGGTACGCTCTGAGTGCATTACAGCATATGGACCGTAATACGGCTATAGACAACCTGTTAAAAGCTCTGAAGACCCTTCGAAGTTAAATGAACACTTTTTGTGATACAGATAAAACGATACGCGATGTGTATTGGATTCGCTGGTAATAGAAGCCAAGGCAGTAGTGATACAACTACTGCTGCTCGATTGGTACCACTCCGATTGTTACACTCTATCCATCTTATCAGTCTGGGATCATTTCTGATTGTTTCTTTTCTCTCTCTCTCATATTTCATTCCACTGTCTCATTTGGAACATATCTGTGACTAACTGATCAGTCAGTGACGAAGAATTTGTACAGTGGCAGAATTTTGTCATCGGCGAGCACATCCCACTCATTGTTCGCACTTTCCTGAAGCCTTAAATACAGAGAACAAGTTTCTTGTTTGTAGTCCGAGACCGAGCTTTTCTTCATCTATTCATAACTTTTGCTGCTTTTCGGGTACGGGACGAAAAATATGAATCTGGAATTACGTGTGATTTCCACCGTCCTCTGACCAACCAACCAACCAACCATATGTTTGCTCTCCCCAGCGTGCGCATTGTCGCGGGGAAACAAAACAAAATGTTTCTGATAACAATCACCTTTTCCAGTATGCCTATTTACTGATTCAGCCCGGTTACACACACACACACATACAATGCTAGACATTGTGCTAAACATGTCTCAAAGTCAATTTGTCATCGTTCACAATACTGTCTGCAATTGGAGTTCACAATGCACCGCCTAATCCCAACTACCAATTGATCCGATCAGAGCAAACAACAAACGACTACGCTAACACACGAGTGCGGATTGCTGGAAGCAAAGTTGTGAATCAGATGTTATGCATGGAATTTAAAAACAATCCACTCGTTCCACCAGTTTTGGTGTACCGGTAACTCCGTAGCTTAGACGATGACTTAACCGTTTATGTCTGTTTAGCGGATTGCATTGATATTTCTTCAAACCGATGCAGCTATATGTTATATATGTTTTCACACACGTCTGAGACCAGAATGTGCCAAACAAGTCAGGGTACAATAATCTTTATGAAAAAGAAACGTTCCATGGTTTGCATGTGGACGGAATACTGATAGGTTGCCCAGAACAAGGCAGGTCAATTCTCTTGAGGAATCCACAACCGGGGCGTCCNCGCAAGGCAGCGGGGTGTGTGTGCGAAAACCGGAATCCATTGGGGGCCGGTGTCCAGTTGATCGACTCATACGCCTTTCGGACGGTATCAAACGTCCGAGTTGTCTAATCTAGCCGGTAACTACTGCCAAAACCCGGAAGGTTTGTGTGTGGTTGGTTTGGAACTAGGGTTTTTGGCCAACTCCCCTAGGTGAACCACCAGTGGTTCATTAATCCGCTTATAGCTCCGGATGTCGGCTCTTCGTCCTCTCACTTCGGTGTGAAAACACCGCCGCGAGAAAGCAGTGAGTAGGGCTTCCTCAGCAGAGGCTGTTTGAGACGATTGCTCTTATGAGGAGAGTATTTCGCGAGGTGCAAAGGACGGGTGACCAGTTGCAACCCTAGACACCCCCCCCCCC